TGTGGTGGTGGTGGTAGTTGTGTGGTGGTTGGTAGTTGTGGTGGTGGCTGGTAGTTGTGGTGGTGCTGGTAGTTGTGGTGGTGGCTGGTAGTTGTGGTGGTGGCTGGTAGTTGTGGTGGTGGCTGGTAGTTGTGGTGGTGCTGGTAGTTGTGGTGGTGGCTGGTAGTTGTGGTGGTGGCTGGTAGTTGTGGTGGTGGCTGGTAGTTGTGGTGGTGGCTGGTAGTTGTGGTGGTGGCTGGTAGTTGTGGTGGTGCTGGTAGTTGTGGTGGTGGCTGGTAGTTGTGGTGGTGGCTGGTAGTTGTGGTGGTGCTGGTAGTTGTGGTGGTGGCTGGTAGTTGTGGTGGTGGCTGGTAGTTGTAGTGGTGGCTGGTAGTTGTGGTGGTGCTGGTAGTTGTGGTGGTGGCTGGTAGTTGTGGTGGTGCTGGTATCCGTTTTGCTTTTCCCAACGGCTGTGACTTGGTCCAGGTGTTTTAGTTACCTCAGTGAAGTAACTCTCCCGTCCAGGTCATGTGTCCTTAACTCACCACATGAACCCCACAGTTCAGGGGTGTTTTCAATTTTGTTTCCGACGGCAGCGAGTTGGACTGGTCCATTTCGTTACCTCGGTGACCCTGCACAGGCATCACCAATGGTCAGTGACGTCACAAAATCTTCATCTTCCCTGTATAAGACCATTTTCTGTTATGGTATATTCATTCCCATTTTCAAAATTTTTGGCAAAGGGGATTAAAAGGCCGCCTTCCGTCAAACCACTGTACACTGACGTCATCCATAATCTATTTTAAATCTCCTATTTACTTCCAATCTATGTTGACCAAAACATCAACTGCCGCTATTATATGAACTGGAGTATGTCTATTCCCCTATTAATATCTCCCTTTCATCTCCATTTTTACACTGCAATAATGACACTTAATATTCAGAAGGACCTGGAAGCTTTATATATATAGTGTACAGCCAAGGATCGTTAATTGAGCATAGGAATGGCTGAAATCCACTCTCCATTCACATTAAAACACGGAGAGCAACACAGAGCATGAACTAATATCCATCTCACATGCGACAGCGTAAAAATAAACATTCGGCCATAGGAACACTACTGAAGCCACTATTGGAGTCTCCAGCTACATGATAATATTTTTGGTATTGTATAATTTTTAAAACAAGCTATAACATCACCCAGACATTTTCATATATTCCTCCCACATTGCTAATCCCGTGTGTCTCATTAATGCTCAAAAACCACCTCACTGTAGCATATATCCAACCAAAATACTCATTCAGTGTACATACATACGAACAAGATTGAGTAGATGCTGCTTCGTGTGTTTACAATAAGCCTTCTGCAGTTACCATAATCCCCAATTCATCGACCGGGAGCCGGTTGGCCGAGTGGACAGCACGCTGGACTTGTGATCCTGTGGTCCTGGGTTCGATCCCAGGCGCCGGCGAGAAACAATGGGCAGAGTTTCTTTCACCCTATGCCCCTGTTACCTAGCAGTAAAATAGGTACCTGGGTGTTAGTCAGCTGTCACGGGCTGCTTCCTGGGGGTGGAGGCCTGGTCGAGGACCGCGCCGCGGGGACTCTAAAAAGCCCCGAAATCATCTCAAGATAACCTCAAGATAACCCAATGTGGTCTGATCGACCAATAGGGTCCGTTGCTTGTAGCCTCCCATAAGGTCACCAACTGTTCCAAGGAGCGACCCAGCCTCTCATTAGCACATTCCCTTAATCTCTTAATAGCTCAACTGTTCTCAGGAAGTGTTCACCAGCTATGATGTCTTGTAGCCACTCATATTTTCACTCATTGCTCATCTTTTTCTGTTATTCTACTCATCAGCCCTACCGAACCTTCCTAACCTAACCTATAATAAACAAATGCATTCTATAGTAATAGTATCTAAGATCTTATTACTAATAAGAACAACGTGTGGCTCTGGAGGCTTCATAATGTGTGGCTCTGGAGGCTTCATAATGTGTGGCTCTGGAGGCTTCATAATGTGTGGCTCTGGAGGCTTCATAATGTGTGGCTCTGGAGGCTTCATAACGTGTGGTTCTGGAGGCTTTATAACGTGTGGCTCTGGAGGCTTCATAACGTGTGGCTCTGGAGGCTTCATAATGTGTGGCTCTGGAGGCTTCATAATGTGTGGCTCTGGAGGCTTCATAATGTGTGGCTCTGGAGGCTTCATAATGTGTGGTTCTGGAGGCTTCATTTGTGGCTCTGGAGGCTTCATAACGTGTGGCTCTGGAGGCTTCATAACGTGTGGCTCTGGAGGCTTCATAATGTGTGGCTCTGGAGGCTTCATAACGTGTGGTTCTGGAGGCTTCATAATGTGTGGCTCTGGAGGCTTCATAATGTGTGGCTCTGGAGGCTTCATAATGTGTGGTTCTGGAGGCTTCATGTGTGGCTCTGGAGGCTTCATAACGTGTGGCTCTGGAGGCTTCATAATGTGTGGTTCTGGAGGCTTCATGTGTGGCTCTGGAGGCTTCATAACGTGTGGCTCTGGAGGCTTCATAACGTGTGGCTCTGGAGGCTTCATATTGTGTGGCTCTGGAGGCTTCATAACGTGTGGTTCTGGAGGCTTTATAACGTGTGGCTCTGGAGGCTTCATAATGTGTGGCTCTGGAGGCTTCATGTGTGGCTCTGGAGGCTTCATAACGTGTGGCTCTGGAGGCTTCATAATGTGTGGCTCTGGAGGCTTCATAACGTGTGGTTCTGGAGGCTTCATAATGTGTGGCTCTGGAGGCTTCGTAACGTGTGGTTCTGGAGGCTTCATAATGTGTGGCTCTGGAGGCTTCATAATGTGTGGCTCTGGAGGCTTCATGTATGGCTCTGGAGGCTTCATAATGTGTGGCTCTGGAGGCTTCGTAACGTGTGGTTCTGGAGGCTTCATAATGTGTGGCTCTGGAGGCTTCATAATGTGTGGCTCTGGAGGCTTCATGTATGGCTCTGGAGGCTTCATAATGTGTGGCTCTGGAGGCTTCATAATGTGTGGCTCTGGAGGCTTCATAACGTGTGGTTCTGGAGGCTTCATAATGTGTGGCTCTGGAGGCTTCATAATGTGTGGCTCTGGAGGCTTCATGTGTGGCTCTGGAGGCTTCATAATGTGTGGCTCTGGAGGCTTCATAATGTGTGGCTCTGGAGGCTTCATAACGTGTGGCTCTGGAGGCTTCAAAATGTGTGGCTCTGGAGGCTTCATAATGTGTGGCTCTGGAGGCTTCATAATGTGTGGCTCTGGAGGCTTCATGTGTGGCTCTGGAGGCTTCATAATGTGTGGCTCTGGAGGCTTCATAACGTGTGGCTCTGGAGGCTTCATAATGTGTGGCTCTGGAGGCTTCATGTGTGGCTCTGGAGGCTTTATAACGTGTGGCTCTGGAGGCTTCATAACGTGTGGCTCTGGAGGCTTCATGTGTGGCTCTGGAGGCTTTATAACGTGTGGCTCTGGAGGCTTCATAACGTGTGGTTCTGGAGGCTTCATAACACGTGGGTCTGGAGGCTTCATAATGTGTGGCTCTGGAGGCTTCATAACGTGTGGCTCTGGAGGCTTCATAATGTGTGGCTCTGGAGGCTTCATAACGTGTGGCTCTGGAGGCTTCATAACGTGTGGCTCTGGAGGCTTCATAATGTGTGGCTCTGGAGGCTTCATAATGTGTGGCTCTGGAGGCTTCGTAACGTGTGGCTCTGGAGGCTTCATGTGTGGCTCTGGAGGCTTCATGTGTGGCTCTGGAGGCTTTATAACGTGTGGCTCTGGAGGCTTCATAACGTGTGGCTCTGGAGGCTTCATAATGTGTGGCTCTGGAGGCTTCATAACGTGTGGCTCTGGAGGCTTCATAACGTGTGGCTCTGGAGGCTTCATAATGTGTGGCTCTGGAGGCTTCATAATGTGTGGCTCTGGAGGCTTCATAATGTGTGGCTCTGGAGGCTTCATGTATGGCTCTGGAGGCTTCATAATGTGTGGCTCTGGAGGCTTCGTAACGTGTGGTTCTGGAGGCTTCATAATGTGTGGCTCTGGAGGCTTCATAATGTGTGGCTCTGGAGGCTTCATGTATGGCTCTGGAGGCTTCATAATGTGTGGCTCTGGAGGCTTCATAATGTGTGGCTCTGGAGGCTTCATAACGTGTGGTTCTGGAGGCTTCATAATGTGTGGCTCTGGAGGCTTCATAATGTGTGGCTCTGGAGGCTTCATGTGTGGCTCTGGAGGCTTCATAATGTGTGGCTCTGGAGGCTTCATAATGTGTGGCTCTGGAGGCTTCATAACGTGTGGCTCTGGAGGCTTCAAAATGTGTGGCTCTGGAGGCTTCATAATGTGTGGCTCTGGAGGCTTCATAATGTGTGGCTCTGGAGGCTTCATGTGTGGCTCTGGAGGCTTCATAATGTGTGGCTCTGGAGGCTTCATAACGTGTGGCTCTGGAGGCTTCATAATGTGTGGCTCTGGAGGCTTCATGTGTGGCTCTGGAGGCTTTATAACGTGTGGCTCTGGAGGCTTCATAACGTGTGGCTCTGGAGGCTTCATGTGTGGCTCTGGAGGCTTTATAACGTGTGGCTCTGGAGGCTTCATAACGTGTGGTTCTGGAGGCTTCATAACACGTGGGTCTGGAGGCTTCATAATGTGTGGCTCTGGAGGCTTCATAACGTGTGGCTCTGGAGGCTTCATAATGTGTGGCTCTGGAGGCTTCATAACGTGTGGCTCTGGAGGCTTCATAACGTGTGGCTCTGGAGGCTTCATAATGTGTGGCTCTGGAGGCTTCATAATGTGTGGCTCTGGAGGCTTCATAACGTGTGGCTCTGGAGGCTTCATGTGTGGCTCTGGAGGCTTCATGTGTGGCTCTGGAGGCTTTATAACGTGTGGCTCTGGAGGCTTCATAACGTGTGGCTCTGGAGGCTTCATGTGTGGCTCTGGAGGCTTTATAACGTGTGGCTCTGGAGGCTTCATGTGTGGCTCTGGAGGTTTCATAATGTGTGGCTCTGGAGGCTTCATAACACGTGGGTCTGGAGGCTTCAAGCGTGTGGGTCTGGAGGCTTTATAACACGTGGGTCTGGAGGCTTCATAACACGTGGGTCTGGAGGCTTTATAACACGTGGGTCTGGAGGCTTCATAACACGTGGGTCTGGAGGCTTCATAACACATGGGTCTGGAGGCTTCATAACACGTAGGTCTGGAGGCTTCATCACACATGGATCTGGAGGCTTCATAACACATGGGTCTGAAGGCTTCATACTACATGGGTCTGGAGGCTTCATAACACATGGGTCTGGAGGCTTCATAACACGTAGGTCTGGATGCTTCATCACACATGGGTCTGGAGGCTTCATCACACATGGGTCTGGAGGCTTCATCACACATGGGTCTAGAGGCTTCGTCACACATGGGTGTGGAGGCTTCATAACACGTGGTTCTGGAGGCTTCATAAAACGTGGGTATGGAGGCTTCATAACACGTGGGTCTGGAAGCTTCATAATACGTGGGGTCTGGAGGCTTCATAATACGTGGGGTCTGGAGGCTTCATAACACGTGAGTCTGAAGGCTTCATAACACGTGGGGTCTGGAGGCTTCATAACAAATGGGCCTGGAGGCTTCATAACACGAGGGTCAGGAGGCTTCATAACACGTGGGTCTGGAGGCTTCATAACACATGGGTCTGAAGGCTTCATAATACGTGGGTCTGGAGGCTTCATAACACGAGGGTCTGGAGGCTTCATAACACGAGGGTCTGGAGGCTTCATAATACGAGGGTCTGGAGGCTTCATAACACGAGGGTCTGGAGGCTTCATAACACGAGGGTCTGGAGGCTTCATAATACGTGGGTCTGGAGGCTTCGTAACACGTGGGTCTGGAGGCTTCATTACACGAGGGTCTGGAGGCTTCATAACACATGGGTCTGGAGGCCTCATAATACGTGGGCCTGGAGGCTTCATAACACGTGGGTCTGGAGGCTTCTTAACACGTGGCTCTAGTGGCTTCATAACACATGGGTCTGGAGGCTTCATAACACGTGGGGTCTGGAGGCTTCATAACAGGTGGGTCTGGAGGCTTCATAACACATGGGTCTGGAGGCTTCATAACACTTGGGTCTGGAGGCTTCTTAACATGTGGCTCTAGTGGCTTCATAACACATGGGTCTGGAGGCTTCATAACACGTGGGTCTGGAGGCTTCATAATACGTGTCTCTGGAGCTTCATAACGTGGGTCTGGAGGGTTCATAACACGTGTGTCCGGAGGCTTCTTAACACGTGGCTCTAGTGGCTTCAAACACATGTGTCTGGAGGCTTCATAAGACGAGGGTCTGGAGGCTTCATAACACGAGGGTCTGGAGGCTTCATAATACGTGGGTCTGGAGGCTTCGTAACACGTGGGTCTGGAGGCTTCATAACACGAGGGTCTGGAGGCTTCATAGCACATGGGTCTGGAGGCTTCATAATACGTGGTCCTGGAGGCTTCATAACACGTGGGTCTGGAGGCTTCTTAACACGTGGCTCTAGTGGCTTCATAACACATGGGTCTGGAGGCTTCATAACACGTGGGGTCTGGAGGCTTCATAACAGGTGGGTCTGGAGGCTTCATAACACATGGGTCTGGAGGCTTCATAACACATGGGTCTGGAGGCTTCTTAACATGTGGCTCTAGTGGCTTCATAACACATGGGTCTGGAGGCTTCATAACACGTGGGTCTGGAGGCTTCATAATACGTGTTTCTGGAGGCTTCATAACACATGGGTCTGGAGGCTTCATAACACGTGGGGTCTGGAGGCTTCATAACACGTGTGTCTGGAGGCTTCATAACACATGGGTCTGGAGTCTTCATAACACGTGTGTCCGGAGGCTTCTTAACATGTGGCTCTAGTGGCTTCATAACACATGGGTCTGGAGGCTTCATAACACGTGGGGTCTGGATTCTTCATAACAGGTGGGTCTGGAGGCTTCATAACAGGTGGGTCTGGAGGCTTCATAACACATGGGTCTGGAGGCTTCATAACACATGGGTCTGGAGGCTTCATAACACATGGGTCTGGAGGCTTCATAACACATGGGTCTGGAGACTTCATAACACATGGGTCTGGAGGCTTCATAACACGTGTGTCTGGAGGCTTCATAACACGTGTGTCTGGAGGCTTCATAATACATGGGTCTGGAGGCTTCATAACACGTGTGTCTGGAGGCTTCATAACACGTGTGTCTGGAGGCTTCATAACACATGGGTCTGGAGGCTTCATAACACATGGGTCTGGAGGCTTCATAACACGTGTGTCCGGAGGCTTCTTAACATGTGGCTCTAGTGGCTTCATAACACATGGGTCTGGAGGCTTCATAACACGTGGGGTCTGGATTCTTCATAACAGGTGGGTCTGGAGGCTTCATAACAGGTGGGTCTGGAGGCTTCATAACACATGGGTCTGGAGGCTTCATAACACATGGGTCTGGAGGCTTCATAACACATGGGTCTGGAGGCTTCATAACACATGGGTCTGGAGGCTTCATAACACATGGGTCTGGAGGCTTCATAACACGTGGGGTCTGGAGGCTTCATAACACGTGTGTCTGGAGGCTTCATAATACATGGGTCTGGAGGCTTCATAACACGTGTGTCTGGAGGCTTCATAACACGTGTGTCTGGAGGCTTCATAACACATGGGTCTGGAGGCTTCATAACACATGGGTCTGGAGGCTTCATAACACATGGGTCTGGAGGCTTCATAACACGTGTGTCTGGAGGCTTCATAACACATGGGTCTGGAGGCTTCATAACACGTGTGTCTGGAGGCTTCAGAACACATGGGTCTGGAGGCTTCATAACACGTGTGTCCGGAGGCTTCTTAACATGTGGCTCTAGTGGCTTCATAACACATGGGTCTGGAGGCTTCATAACACGTGTGTCCGGAGGCTTCTTAACATGTGGCTCTAGTGGCTTCATAACACATGGGTCTGGAGGCTTCATAACACGTGGGGTCTGGATTCTTCATAACAGGTGGGTCTGGAGGCTTCATAACACATGGGTCTGGAGGCTTCATAACACATGGGTCTGGAGGCTTCATAACACATGGGTCTGGAGGCTTCATAACACATGGGTCTGGAGGCTTCCTAACACATGGGTCTGGAGGCTTCATATCTACAGGACCAGAGGCGGAGCTGGCAACCACTAAGAAAAAATACGTGAGCTGGCATTGTTTGAGAGTCCTTTGTTTGGTGGTCTGGTCCCTTAAGTCAGGGCCCAGCCCTCCTTTGTGTCCGGGGGTCACATTGTCCCCTCTCTCCCAGCTCAGTTTTATGCGCTCAAACCCGCTTACGCTGAACTCTAATCCCTTATCAGCAGGAAGTAACTTCCACTCCCGACTCTATAGGCGGGACCTGCCTCATGACCTTGCTGAGAATCGTTGAACATTTAATTTGTCCAAATAAATGTTTTGCATCATAGATTGTTATAGTTATTGAGGTGTTACAGATATGAAGGAATGATGGTATTTATATGTTAATGATATGCTGGTGGACCAGACCACCAACCAGGAGGCCTGGTTGGTGACCGGGCCTGTGATCTGTGATGCCATGTTTAGCTTCTCCTGTTTCCTCCTGTAAGTATCACAGAACTCAGTTTTTCTTGTTGATATCATTGTAATATCATTATCAATTACATTACATTGTGATGTAATCTCTGGCTATCTTAATTGCAAGCTTAGCATTCTGTTCCTTAATTCTGCTTTTAACACTAGGGAGGGACAACTCCTCTCGTAGATTTGATGATCTGGCAGTTCTTGGGACTCCAAGAATGATTGTCTTGGCTTCATTTTGAATGCTTTCAAGTTTTTCATATCGCTTTGGGAATAAGTGCATAGAACTGGTGCGGCATAGTATATGACGGAGCGCACATATGCTGTGTACCTCATTTTAAGCACGGCATTAGAGGCTCCATGTCCATTCCAGGTCATAGCTCTCAGTGCCCTTAGTGGACTTTTGCATGTTCCTATGAGTTGATTGAGCTCCTCTTTCTTCCCCTTGTTAGAGCCGACAGTGACGCCAAGGTACCGATAGTGGTCAACCCATACAAGTGTTACACGATTAATTTGTAGTTCTTCATTTGGTCTCCGCTTGTGATGGGAGTATGCCTTCGTCTTGTTTGCGGAGAGAGTGAAACCGAGCTCAATACATTTCCTTCCAAGGATTTCAATGGGCTGTTAAATTTTTCCCAAGGTGGGAGCTTGTATTGCGACATCATCTGCACATCGCACTTCTTGTGTTCCTTCTGGAAATTCAATATTTGTAATGACGTTCATAAGTACATTGAATAGTGTAGGGCTTAAGACTCCGCCTTGGGGGGTCCCGAGTTCCATATTCATTGTTCTGGAGACTGCTCCATTGAAGCAGACCTTGGCTTTCCTCCCTGTGAGGTAGTCTTCAACCCATTTCATGAGTCTCCCCTTGACACCCATGCATGCAAGCTCGTCCAGGATCGCAATCCCCTGCGCTTTGTCGAAGGCTCCTTTGATGTCGACAAATACAGAGTACTTAGTTGTGTCATTAGCCAAGTAATTAACTATACAATTTGCTGTGCTCCGTGCTTTAACAAATCCATTGACCCCCTCCCCTAGCCTCCCTATTTTGTGCAACAGTCGGTTTAGAATGATTCTTTCAAGCATCTTGCAAGTGCATGACACAAGACTGATAGGTCTGTAATTGCCAAGGTCATTGGGCTTCATTGGGCTGCTGGCAGACATAGTCTGTCTGCTGGTTCGGTATTGGGACAATTATTGCGTGTTTCCATTGTGTGGGCAACACTCCACTTAGGAATGACTTGTTAAACAGGTGGAGTAGTGGATTCCCAGACACTTCACACAGTGCATTGAGTATGTCGTAGGTGACGCCATCTTCACCAGGTGCAGTACTTTTACCCTTTTTCATAGCCCCCTTTACTTCCTGGGCTGTGATTGGTTCTCCATATTCGTCATCACTAGACAGTGCTCTTGTTATCCTAATTCTTCTGTCATCATGTCGCAGGAGCTGTTCCCTGCTGATTTCTGCAGGGAGGGAGGAGGAGGATGCTGCATCATCCACTTGTAGATTAGTTCCTCAGCCTTACCCTGGGGGTCTTTGTGAGCCGCAGGCCGGGCTCTGCCCCCCTTAGCTATCTGAATTTTCGCCCACACTTGTCTTGCAGATGTTTCCCGTCCAATAGAGCTAGTGAACTCAAGCCATTGCCTTTCCCGCTCTTTAATCTTCTCTTCCCTGGCTACTTGACACACAGTTTTAAACAACTCTTGGTTACTTTCTGTGGGATGTCTCCGGTACTCTCTACTCATGTCTCGCACATTTGCATTGAGAATCTTTTTATGTAATCGTTCCCATACCGATTTATTTTCTTCTGAAGGTTACTTCGCCCAGGCGTACGGCGCGGAACTCTTAGACAGCTCTCAATTTGGTGATTAAGGTCATCAAGAAATGTCTTAATGTCTTCTGGGATTTGGTATTCCGTGAACCAGTCACTCATCCTGTTTATGAAGTGCGGTCTCATATCTGGTCCGAGCGATAACCTTTTTCTTTTATTCGTCTCTTTCCTTCTCTTGCTCACGTCGACGGTGGTAATCAGTGCCCAATGGTCACTACATAAACTGTGCACAATGTGTGTACTGGCATCCGTGTCCTGTGCATTCAGCAGGAGAGCATAATCTAATCTTCCTCCTCTGAGGTGAGTTGGCTGTTCATCACCCAGGACCCTAAGGTTTTCACTTCCCCTGACAAAGAGTGACAGTTTCCGTCCATTGACATTGTGCTGATGACAGTTGGCACCAAAGTGTGGGTGTCTAGCATTAAGGTCACCGACCAGCAGGGTAGGTTCTTCATTAACAAACTCAGGCAGTGTGTGAAGGTCAAGTTTACTCTGTGGCACATATAGGTTGATTATATGTAGAGCATTATTGTTTAAGTAAAGGGTTACCCCCAGTGATTCATACTCATCCCCCATGTGCAGGTCATCAATAATCTGTGCGGGAATGTTGTTATTTACAAAAGTGATGAGACCCCGTTTTCTTTACCCAGAGGGCAGGGAGATCTTGCGATAACCGCTGAACCTTGAGTTGAAGTCATCACCTACCATCGTCTCCTGTAGCACTATGACGTCAGTTTGATGTTCACGGACGTATTGTATGATGTCATTAATTCTGTTGCGAACTCCACCGCAGTTCCCCGGTAGTATAGTGAGGTGTTCTTCACTGTGAGTATCCATTTTCAGGTTATTTGTCATCAGCTGCGCTATGTGCAATGTTATTATGTTCACTGTGTTATTGTGTATCCTGTGGTGAGTGATGTTAGTGTGCGCTGGTGTCTGCTGTGTGTACTGATGATGGTATTGTTGTGTCTGCTGTGTGTACTGATGGTGGTATTGTTGTGTCTGCTGTGTGTACTGATGATGGTATTGTTGTGTCTGCTGTGTGTACTGATGATGGTATTGTTGTGTCTGCTGTGTGTACTGATGATGGTATTGTTGTGTCTGCTGTGTGTACTGATGATGGTATTGTTGTGTCTGCTGTGTGTACTGATGATGGTATTGTTGTGTCTGCTGTGTGTACTGATGGTGGTATTGTTGTGTCTGCTGTGTGTACTGATGATGGTATTGTTGTGTCTGCTGTGTGTACTGATGGTGGTATTGTTGTGTCTGCTGTGTGTACTGATGATGGTATTGTTGTGTCTGCTGTGTGTACTGATGATGGTATTGTTGTGTCTGCTGTGTGTACTGATGATGGTATTGTTGTGTCTGCTGTGTGTACTGATGATGGTATTGTTGTGTCTGCTGTGTGTACTGATGATGGTATTGTTGTGTCTGCTGTGTGTACTGATGATGGTATTGTTGTGTCTGCTGTGTGTACTGATGATGGTATTGTTGTGTCTGCTGTGTGTACTGATGATGGTATTGTTGTGTCTGCTGTGTGTACTGATGATGGTATTGTTGTGTCTGCTGTGTGTACTGATGATGCTATTGTTGTGTCTGCTGTGTGTACTGATGATGGTATTGTTGTGTCTGCTGTGTGTACTGATGATGGTATTGTTGTGTCTGCTGTGTGTACTGATGATGGTATTGTTGTGTCTGCTGTGTGTACTGATGATGGTATTGTTGTGTCTGCTGTGTGTACTGATGATGGTATTGTTGTGTCTGCTGTGTGTACTGATGATGGTATTGTTGTGTCTGCTGTGTGTACTGATGATGGTATTGTTGTGTCTGCTGTGTGTACTGATGATGGTATTGTTGTGTCTGCTGTGTGTACTGATGATGGTATTGTTGTGTCTGCTGTGTGTACTGATGATTGTATTGTTGTGTCTGCTGTGT